CAGAGCGTTAGCTCTGATTTATCGATCATTACCAGCAACATAGCGATGACATTCCTTAACAATATTTCTAAAATATTGTATACCATTTTTAATGATATCTGGTGTTCGATAAACAACTTTTATTGAATCTTGTACAACACTACATTTATATGGTTTTTCCGCAGTATGAATCTTTGATTATTTTTACTCTTATTAAGATTTCATATAGGTATTGTTACATGAATAACGTTCATAAGGATTTTTTTAGTATGGCTTTATACTCCTTATCAAACGGGTTATTATTAGTTAAAAATCTAAAAGTTAGATGCATACACAATTTGACTAGTAATAGTCGTTTTCGCTAGTGAAACTTATACATGTTGTATAAATATTAAAAAACCAATACTTAAAACTGTTACACAAGTTACATTCATGAGGTTTTTTTTTCTGTATATGTCTAAAGTCTATTCCATACGGTTTAGACTTGTTATTTTTATTACAAAAGTAAAAAGTTTTCAATTTGCTCGGGTGTTATTGCATTTGATAGATGATTTCATTTGTGATAAAATGTATTATTTTGGAACTCATTTTTAATTTTTGTTACGCATTATATTTCATACATATCTCCCTTGATTTTTATCTAATCGTATTTTCTATTACAACATACTTTACCTATGCTTAACGTGTTGTCTTGGTTTCATTTTATAACCCGCATAGCTACGATCGTATTATAATATAAGTGGTTTTTTACGAATATCGGTGCCTTTTTAAGGTTTATTCATCGTATATTAATTTTGCGTGACTTATAATTTCACTGTTGGTAAAAACATTTAAGTTTAATCCTGTAGGTTTAATGGTTATACTGTGACTGTCGTTCTTAGTATATTTAGTTGTGTTCTAACCTATGGATGTTTTTAAAGTCAACGAAATTCTGTGACAAAATTCGTCGTGTATCCCTTATAATTATCGAACCTTTTGTGATCGTTTAATGCACTACAATATAGATATTGTTTAGTACCCACCTACTTAATAGTATTGTGATTACCTGATTATTTACAATCAATCTATACAATCAGCTAATGATTATTATATACGAGTAACAATGCGTTTATTTAACTTATCCATTCAAAACATTATTTATTATTATCAGAACTTAGTTGTGTTATTATTTTATTAACCCGCTTTAATAATAATTTTCAGATAATTAATTGTTTGTACTACCTATGCGATTATATTTTGTTTATTTTATTTTATCGTATTACAATTATTGTTTTTACCCAAACTGTAATTTTTAAGGGTGTTTCATATTATAATAATATAATAATATTTAAAAATTATGGTGTTTTTATATCTACTCTCGCTACCACTTAGGCATACTGTGATAACCGGCTTTGCTTATTTATTTAAATATATTTAAATATTTGAAAATATTATTACTATTATTATTATTTGAAAGTATTTGAAAAACATTTTGTTACAAATAGTGCCGTCTTAGGAAAGTTAAAGAAATATTAAAGGGAGGCTAAGCCCCCCTAAATTGTGCTTAAGATTAGTGATTAGAGTTAATATTTACAATATTATCAATCTATATGTATTATATAATTAATAATAATGTATAATAATTTTATTTATTTTATACAATGGATTTTGCTTAGTCATAATATTTCATTGTCTATTTTACATATTATATTATCTAGGTATCTATAAGGCTATAATATTATTTTCTTCTTTTTCTTTACATTTAATTACTCTTTTTTGTTTTCCGTGTGATTTAAATGTTTGTATTTGAGTTAAATAATAATTGTATCTATTGTATTCATTGTTTTATTTATTTTTGAATTTAAAATAGTCCCCTTAATACTCCCTTCTCATTTATCCGGCTCTGAAAAAAGTGTATTTTTATAATTTAGTGTATGGATTTATCACCACTAAATTAAAATGTGTTCAATTAACAATACTTAACAATATTATTAAAATGTTACAAATTTGGAGATATATATTTATATAGAAGTAATAAATTATTCCTATAATTTATCCTTATAAAGAAACGATATTATTGATACCTACTTATTTAGTACTTATTGGTTTATGATATTGAATTTATGTGTAAGATTCTATATTTTATTATTATTTTACTTATGGTATAAAAAATGTATTGTATCATGTTATTAAAATTTGGAAATATTAATATATAAAAATGTATTGGTGCGTATCTACTACAGCAACGTAACTACATACTCACAAATATGGTCATTGTATAAAAGTATCCAGTACCTAGTAGTTGTTTTTTGTTTTTCTATTGGCAAATAAATAGTCCAGGAATCAACAAAAGTAAAACCGATGTATCGTTATATGCATTGTCAATTTTCGTTTAATTTTTTAAAAAGTATCTACCTACCGATTGAACAATTCCATATTATTTAAAGTACCGATGATATGCATTAAAATGTTGAGTATTTTTATCAAGAGAAAAAATGTTTTCTAAGAAAAAGGCACTAAGGTAAGAAGGTAGGAAAGGTTAAAAAAAAAAAACCGATTTTTCAGAAAAAGTATTGAAAATATTAAAAAATTGTTTAAATAAAGTACCATCAAATGAAAAATACTCATCTTAAAAGATATGACATGACATAATCGAAGCATTTTCATTAACCGACAAAGTATTTTCTGAGAAGAAAAAACGTTTTAAAACTAATAGCTTCTTCACTATACTCAGTATCTTAATGTTTGTATATTAAAGAATACAAATGATCTTTAACAGTAATATAATAATAATAATATTATGTTTTATATATAATAGCGTATATAAAACGAAAAAATATATGTATATATCTATTGGTAATGATAATAACTATAATAAATAAAAAAAAGGAAAGGGGCAGAGGCGGCAGTAGTCGTATTCGTAGTCACATCCTCGGCCAGGTTCCCTAGCGATCGCCAAACAAGATTCAAATATTGTACTTCTACCTGTGTTCTACGAGTCATTCTTCGGCTGGTTGCGATTATACGAGCGGCCCGTCTAGACCGTGTAACACGCCGTTTGTGGTCGGCACATTGCGGACCAGTACCTGGGCGACGCCACCGTTTAGCCGTATTTTTCCTGCAAACATGGCCAGGATTAATAATTATATTATTATTAGTAGCATAACTAATTCGGGGTCGTCAACAATGGACATATTAATGTAATTGTAAATTTTAAAAAAAAATTAATTTTTGATACCCGCATAGTATGCTTTTTATTAAGCAAATCATTATTTTTATTCTACGAATATAGCAATTGACAGTCTCAACCGTGAATCATCGAACAGTAGCACGAAAAATTTGGGGAAAAATAATCAGGAAAATGTTTGTTAGTAATAGAAAATTACAGGGATGATATTTTATAAAAATATGAATAACCAAGAACAATTTTCTTTGGAATTCCTAAAGAGATTTCTAAATTTGGAATATATAGTTTTAGAAACGAAAAATTACTGAAACAATAAAAATAACAATAATTATTCTTCGTTATACTTAAAAGAAAGAAGATTAAAATAAATAAATAAAGATTGATTTGAATTTCTTAATGTTTAATTGTTAATCTGTGTAATTTTTACTTCTATATATGTATATATTCCGAAGTAATAAGTACTGGTTATTTACATTCCTACAAAATACCGTTCCTTAATTTATTAGTTCATGGTTTTGATTTCCATAATTTTGATAGTCTTTCAAATAAATTTGGACTATGCAATGATGGTATGTTAAAAAGTTAAAAATCATTGATTATAATATTATCATATAACGATAATGGTCTCACCAGAATCTTTGTACACGGTCAGCTGATAGTACCGCTGTTTATCGTCGTCTCCTGTGGATAATAACGTACGCCTTTCATCATGACCATCGTCTGTTATGTCTTCGGTCGTACCTTCGTCCACGTCCTCAGCCGCAGAATCGACACCGACATTATCAGGTAACCGATAAGCAGTATCTCTGACCTGATAGAACCGCAAACCTGCTGTGTACATAGGTGGGTCACCGGGTCCAGCCAGCACAACGTGACTGAGCACGAACTTGTCGGCTATCTTCCGACGATTACGCTGTTTGATCCTACCGTTTTCGTTGTCTTCATGCAACAACCCGTTCACTATAGAACCGCTAGCGTTGTGATTTATCGAACCACGACGTAACCGAAAAGCATCGTCCATCGGCGCGAAGACCGTCACCGTCCGAGGGCCTGCAAAAACACAATCAATGAAATCTAGTTTTTTGGAGATTAGGATATTACTCCCAAAAAGAAAATATAAAGGTATTTCATATGAAACGTTAAATAAATTAGTGAAGAAATTGTAAAAATTGTAATTTATATTTTAGATAAACATAACATTCCACTGTAATTTGAATTCATTTTTTAAATTTTTATTTTATTATTCTTAATAGAGTTCAAAATCTAAACGGGAAATGATAGTCCTTTGGTAGTCCTACACTTGGTCGAAAGAAACATGAACCTTAAGCAAAAATTTCTGTACACATAATAAGAAAAACCAATACCATATACGCATTGATGAGTTCGTTGTTAGACATGCATACAAGTTCTTTTGATTTAAAAATGTTTTTAATTCTTCAATTCTTTGATTTTTAGTAATATTATTCTATCTGCAGTTACTTTCCATTCCATGATTGTTTCAAAAAAAGAAAAAAAAACACGTCCTAGGATAATGTAGACGGGTGGAGGCACTGGTATAGGTAATTTAATGTATATCTCTAAAGTTACCTCCCTAAATTACCTGGAAACACAATTTCCCTTTAGAAAATAAGCTACACTTGGTACACCAGAACAAGATTTCTAGTAGAAAAGTTTGCACAGCAAATCAAGGAATACTTTGCGATTAAAATAGTCTTAATGAGCGATGGCTGGATCTCTACTTCTATTGGCACAGCCAAAATACATTTAAATTTTCTTTGTTTAAGTAAAAAGGAAAAGAAATACAAAATATTTTGTTTAAAATGCAGGTTTGAACTCGAGACCCCTAGGATGATAATAGGTAAGTATAACTATTAGATCACAAAATACTTTAAAGAAGACAATAAACAGTGTGTTTCACTCAAATGATAACACAAAATATTTCTGTTTTGTGACCTCGGATTAAAATGGGGTTTTCAAGAGAAGATAGGAAATACTGACATTTTGCATGGATTTTCGAATTTCTTAACGTTTCAGTGTGCGCACGCGCAATAAAACTAGAAACTGTTTTAAATGAAAATACCTATTTTCAAAATTTAATTTGGATAAACAATTTTTTTTAAGCAGCTTATATAATCACACTTTTCCCTTATTTCGAAAATTAGCCAAAATACAGCTAGCTAAAGTTAAAACGAAATTATTTTATTACTATTAAATTTATTTTATTGTAAACAATATATTACAAAAAATTCTCGTCAGTCATCAGTATCTTATAAATTGTCGTTGTTATTAGGTGCTATATGTCTTACCGGTCAACAGATTCCGCACACTAGGCGAACAGTACTCGTCCACGACTCGCAGGAACACGGTGTACCGGCGTTGTCGATCGGCTCTCATTGTGGCTAATACATCTCCAACGGGCAATGGAAACAAAACCCGGTCAACTGCGTGTCCAATGGCCATAATTTGTTGGTTTGAGCTCCCTTCTAACGTTCCTATACTGTTTGGTGACAAAACCATGTCTCTGCGTTGCTGCACGGATATTGTGCTGACGTCATCAAAGGAAAAACCATCTTCGGCTGCTCCGGATGTCGCCGGAACAACGTCATCCAACACCCGAGCCCCGTTGACTGTTAGCACCTGAAAAAAAAATTAACAAGTTTAGGATTGCCTATACAAGGAGAGGTTGCTATGGCAGACAAATTACGATAAAAGTGTTATGTGATGAATATATAAGCAAATAAGAATAAAGAGAAATTTTAAATTATAGTAAAGTATTTTAAAATTGATTTGCCGTTTGTTGTATTGTATATTGGGATATTAGTAACAGTTACTTCATAGTTTCGTCCATTCGATATAATAGTGGTTTATTTATTATAACTGTAAATTAATACCAAATTATTGTAAACTGTTTTTAATATTGTTTTATATAAAATAAATTAATGAAAAAATAATTTATTTTTATTACTATTCTTATTCATATAAGATGATTGATAGAGAAAGGTGAAATAAAGATGTAGAGGTAAAAGAAAAGGAATTGTTTAAATATGACATGCAGTATTCCAAAACAGAAATTTGCTTGTTAAAATCTAGTTTTTATTTCCTTTTTCACTTACCTGAATATAAAATCATAAATCAGTAAAATTATAAAACATTCTCCTTATTTTTAGTGTATATAACTATAAACAGACTTATACGAAAATATAGGAGGTTTTAAATTAGCTTACCTCTTGTAACACTATTTATTACCTTGAAATTGAAAACATTGGTAAGATGTTTAAAAAGAAAATATTCTTATAACATTTAATCAAAATACACCGTTTATAAAAAGTTTGGAACTCTTTAATTGTAAATTATTTGCACAATTGTAATTATTATAATTATTTAGTAATGTTTTAATTTCATTTATTAATGTTTGCTCTACAACAAAAGTTATATTTATAAATAGAACTTAGTACCTACTCTTTTCATATTATTTATTAGTTTATAATGAAATCAGGGTATGTCATGAATATTTTAAATAAAATTAAAAAATCGTATTTAATAATTTTAGTAATTAAAGAGTGAGATTTTTAAACCTTTCAGCCATTTTTGAACGCTTTTTTGTAAATTTTAAATGCAGTTAGTTCGAAGCCTTAGATCAAAATCAGTTGGGTTACTATCAATCTCGTTATTTGCATTGTTTTCATTATTACTGCTCTCTTCATTTAATAATATTATGAATGGCATCATTTTAACTTTCGATGGTTTTTTTATATATTCTTTAATAATTTATTGTGGTCTTGTAAATGGATTTGAACTTGTCATAAGTCATTAAAATAAATTTCGATTAGTAAATTATCTCTTAATTATTTTTCATGGATATTTATTTTGTTTTTATTTCTACCTTTTGCACCCTCTTCTGATAATAGACCTATTATAATCGTAGGGATATTTAAAATCGCCGTTGATGGTGATGGGTCATAGACATAAATAATGTAACACGAGGTAAGCTACTTTAAATCATCGTATAAAAGTCTGCTTAAAAATATGTGCACTAAAAATAAGAAAAATACCTTATAATTTTACTAACGATAATGATTTTATAATCAGATAAGTAAATAATAATAATAATAATAATAATATAAATTTAGATTATGACCAACAAATGTCTTTTTTGGATTACTATAGTGCTCGCGTATGTTTTGCAACACAATAAAAACTTTTTAAATACTAATTAGTATTATAATATATAATTACTTCGATGTCGTTCCACCGGTTGTCGTATAGTTGTCGAGCGTAAAGATTGGCTCTGAGCTGCGTGCCCGCCAAGCTGACGCCAGTCATTTCATCACCTGCTCTTAGATCGGCAGCCTTAAATGCTCCAGGTACGACGTGATGCAGCAAAAGCTTTTAAACAAATAATAATATGGTAGAAAAATATGATGGAAAACCGATGATAGTTAAAACTAGAAAGACTAGGTAAAGACCACTCTATCAAGGCACTATAGTTATTACTACGAGAGTTGTCCCAAAAGTAATGCACAGCGCGCTCTAGCTGTCTTGCAATGTGATATTATCAGCTGATTTTAGTATCAGTTTGTAGCTTGAAGTCCAAAGAACACGTGCGTTTTCAGTTTTAGTTGTTTTAGTAAAGTATGATGATGTGTGAGAGCGATAACGAAAGTGAGAACATTTCGTCGGCTCACATTTCTGTTTTTGAGCAACGCGCATACATTTATATCGAAACGATTCGTGGTAAAACAGTGCCTGAAATTCATGCCGCGTTAAATGAAGTGTGTGGAACGGATACTGTGGATCGTAGTACGGTGCAAAGATGGCATCAGCGATTCTGTGATGGTCGTATAAGTATTGATAACAACCCTCGCTCTGGCCGACCCTCTACGGTTACACAAGACAACACTAACGCGGCTATTCTCGCAACTCTACTCGATGAAGACCGACGAATAACGATGAGAGAGATAGAGAATAAAACAGGTATTTCAAAATCAAGTGTTCACCGCATTTTAATGGAAATTCTACAGAAATGAAAGATTGCAGCACGTTGGGTGCCTCATTTTCTGTCACCGGAACAGAAGGATACACGCAAAGACATCTGCCGTGAACTCCTATCTCGCTACGAAAATGAAAAAGAAACGTTTCTTGATCGTATAATTGCAATAGATGAGACTTGGATCCGTAATTTTGAGCCGGAATTAAAATCTCAAAGCAATATTTGGAAGGGAATAACATCACCAAGAGCAAAAAAAGTTCGTCGCCAGCAAACAAAGGTGAACCAAATGATGATTTTTGCTTACGATAAACTTGGGATAATTGTCACTGATCGAGTTCCAATTGGCAGTAGTGTAACCGGGGATTACTACAAAACATTCCTTGCCAAAAAATTGCGACCAGAAATCCGTAAAAAGCGACCAGGAATGTTACAAAATGGTGTGTCCATATTGCACGATAATGCGCGGCCGCATATCGGAGCACCAGTCGTCGCTCTTTTGGAGAAATATGGATGGGAACGCCTCAAACACCCACCGTATTCACGGGATTTAAGTCCCCCGGACTTTGATTTATTTCCAAAACTGAAGGAACCACTTAGAGGGATCCGTTTTTCCAACTTAGATATACTAAATGAAGAAGTGAGCCGAAGGATCCGTGAACTCAACAAAGATGGCGTCCTATATGGCATTCAAGCGCTCCCGAAACGATGGCAATCGTGTATAGACAAGCAGGGAGATTATATCGAAGGTCTATAATATTGTATTTAGTTTAAAATAAAAACTTATTTATTCAGAACAAATTGTGCATTACTTTTGGGACAACCCTCGTATGAGTAGTGAAAATAGTTCATTGATAATAATATTATTAGTGAGTATAATTACTCCAATCAGTAAACGCGGATTTTCACGAAACTTGTCCTCTGCGCGATCGGGGCCACCTAACTGAACTAGCAATGCTCGGAACGCTTTGTCAGTGGGTACGAACACGGTAAATGGACCTAAAATAAATAAATAATAATAGTAATATTATTAAAATATAGAACTTTATGAAATATATACGGTAAGTATGATTAAACTGTCCAAAAATAAATATTTTACAAAATTAACATTGAAATTAAAACAAATTTGTCTTTCTACTGAATAATTGGAATATCGTTCTATTTAGAAGTGATCCAAAAATTGTATTACTTTCGTCAAATATTCCAACTAAAATAATAAAATCTCTAACTACTAAACAATATCATGAACCTGATAATCATAAAAAAAATTACTTTTTTCTGTAGAATTTAAAATTTAGAAATGTTAACTCAAGTCAATTTCGTCGGTATCATTATTTGTGAATCATGTGAAACTATTGAACAAATTAACAAACAACGTTACATTGGACAGTAAGGACAATAGAAGTCTACTAAAAAAATATTAGATGTCTACAATAATTTAAATTCAGAACGTATCGAGGAATGTATTAGATTTACAATGATATTTATTTATTTTAAATTCCGAGTGAAGGAATGTATTGGTTTTACAAAATTTATTTTTGTTTCTTTTTGTATGGACAATTTTTTCATCATCCATTTTGCTCCAATTTATAAAAGAAGGACTGACTGAGGTGGTACTTTAGGGAGGTATTTTTTTGATTTTCTAAAGAGTTTTCGCGATATATTGGAAAAATAAAAAAATAGGTAAAATATTAAACAAACAGTATTAAACAATAAAATAATAAAGTAAAAACAAAATTATTATAATAGTTAATACTCGTAAATAAATATAAAGTAAAAAAATATAGTCAATAAATATATAAAAGTATTAAAGAAAATATATAATGCGTATGTAATTATTTTACAATAATATGAGATATTTATTATTGACAAAGCAACAATTTTAACCGAACTCCGCTGAGAATCGTTTTTTCATTAACAATAATTTACCGTTGCTTACAGATATACATTAAATTTTCCCTCTACTTCCTTCCTAACTTCTCACATATAACAGTGTTCCACCCATTGTGCGATAAATACACTTCTTTATAATTATACTCGCATATTTATTTTGTAAATGGTTTTATTTTTCAGCCCAGTAAGTCGAAATTTTGACTTATTCAATATTAAGTATATCTATTGAATTTATTTTTTATAATAATACCTATATTATATTTCATTAAATGTGTCTATATCGTATACATTTAATACAAAATTACATTAAATGTAAAACAAAGGTTCTGTTTAGCAATTTTGTAAAATTTAGGTATATAGCTCGATATAGGATAGCACTAGAATCGGCTTGAAGCCAGTCCAATTTGTGCACTCGCACAGTGCCCTGTGATTTTAGAAGCCATGCGTCTACTCAAAATCATTTCTGGATAGTAATTTCACTCGATTATTTATGAAAATTAAAATTAATAAACCGAATTGTAGAATGATATTTTAAATATTTACCTACGCTTGATATTAGAATATGAAAAAGTAAAAACGATTGCATAAGGTCTCGATATTTTAAAGGATAGAAAAAATAAATCTAAATAAATCTGAAAAACAACATAATGTATTATACCGGTCTCCTCAAGCACTGCATCTACACCGGCCTGTCGCATATACTTAGCCATAGCGTAGTATCCCCGACGACGAAGGGCACTGCTGAATATGCCTTCTTTTTTGTTGTTGTTTAAGTTATTGTTGTAATTATTGTTATAATAGGGAAATGTCGTGTTTGAAGGAGCAGTAGTTGTGGACGCCAACGTAGTGATGGTGGGTGGTGAGTAAAATTGCTGTTGTTGTTTCTGTTGTTGCTGCTGCTGGTACCTATTCTGTTTCTGTTGCTGTATGATATCACTAGTGGTAGTGGTAACGGCTACCCCCGAATTTGGTACTGCGGTAGGAAGGAAAAAATTCTGGTATTCATTTGACTGTACTGGGGCAACAGTTGTGGTGTGCTGTTTTACAGTAGACGAATATGAGGGCTGATCACGGTGCTTGTTGGTCGATTGAGAGACGAAAGACGTAATGGGGGCCACAGCCGTGGAACTGGCTGCCGTTGCGCTGTCTATTCCGCTGAGCTTGGAAGACGAGGAAGATCCCGTGGACGGTAATCGGAGTTCACCGCGATTGAGCTTGTCCACCAGTGCTTGGAGTTGTTCGTCGTCGGCCGTTGTTGAACTGGCGGTCACGGCGTTACTCCCCTCAGACGGTTCGTCACCCCCGTGCTGTTTTTTCTCGATGCCCCGCACGCGGACAGTGCCGTCTGGCCGCTCCTCAAGTATAACGAACGTAACCGGTTTCTTTTTTCCACTAGGAGCTGGTTGTTGTGGAGTCGCACTGATAGCGGGTACCACGTTTTCGACGGTGGCTGCCGAGGCTACGTCACCGGTGTTCTTGGCAGCAACTGTGGTGTCAACGCCACCGGCTCGGATAATCTCGTACTGAGCCACACCAGGAGGCAATACCTGCCTGGCCAATTGTTCGAGCTGCTGCTGTTCGCTAATTGTCCAAGTGTGTTGCTGTTGCGAAGCCGCAGTAGTGGGTGCAGGTGTAGAAGTAGTGGTAGACTGGGTGGTGGTTGGTGTTGTGGGTGCCACCGGCTTTTGCCGAACAACAACAGTCTTCACGATCGTGTTTCTACTACCAGTGCCGGCAATAGAGGATCCCGTACTGGCAAAAACCGATGACGTGGCCGTCTCGATCTGCTGCTGTTGATGTACGCGACTTCGAGACGGTGAAGACGATCCACCGCCTCCGATTTTTACGTATTGTACATTATCGTTGGACGCCGGATCGGTGGTTTGTTGTTGTTGCTGTTGCTGCTGCAATCGATGACCATTCAGTGACGTAAGTACCGTATAATTTCCACCACTCGCACCCACGACGGCCGTTAACTGTTGCCTGATCTGTTGTTCAATGTCTGCGTCTATCTCACCACGGTTGTCGTCTCCACCACTGATACCGGACGAAGTCGTCACTGGCCCCGATGTCACAAATGCCGGTTGCTGTTGCTGCTGTGGGTAATACTGGTGTAGACTGGGCTGCGGAGATATGTACTGCTGCTGGGGATGATTTTTAGACGTTATTGGAGTAGTAGTTGAAGTAGGCGTCGTGACAAAGAGTTGCTGCTGCTGCTGCTGCTGCTGTTGATGATGATGGTGGTGTTTTACAAGAGGACCCAACGGTGAAGTAGTCGGATAATATTGTTTTTGTTGATGCTGGTGAGTAACAGTTGGCTGTACCGTAGCTGTCGGAGGAGGTGGAACATACGGAGATATAGATGGATGCTGATGTCTATTGTGGTTATTAAATTGTAGCGGCGACTGTTGTGGCTGCCAACCTCCGGTGCCACTGCCGACCCCGACGGACCTTTGCTTTCCGTGACGTTCGTCGTCCAAATTGTCGACGATCGTCTCACCGTCCGTGGCGGCCACCCCGTTGATCTGTAACAGTTGCTGAAGTTGGTCAGTAGCCGAATCTGATACAGTTTGTTGACGTTCACCGTCTTCGTTGTTGTCGGTCAGCTGCGTGTTTGTGACCGACGGTTGTGCCACTGTTCCCAACGAATCCGGTGTCATCCACCATTGTTGCTGTTGATTGTGACGACGGATGTCGTCGAGTATATGCGTCTGTTGGGCGGCCGAAAGTTTATGCGTTCCCAACTGTGGTGTGGGCAAATCGTCATCATGTTCGCCGTCACCGTCGTAAGATCCCGAGCCCGAGGGCATGGTAGCGATTCCCCTTTGTCGCTGCTGCAATTCATAACACACATCCACATAAAACAAATAAACATATAAATATATATATATATATATATATTTATGTAATTTATATTATACATAAAGAACACAAATATGAACCTAGAAATCCGTTAAGTTTTATCAGTGTAAATTTCCCCTTAAAAAAGAATGCCGATATAAATAAATAAGTTCGTTTGTTATATAATTTAAAACTGAATATTATACCGGCATAATATTTTTCAAAAAAAGTATTTTTTACCCACCTCGCAACATGGGTTCATTTATTTGTACCGGTGTACCCATAATTATTAACCGCGTAAAATCTCCAGATGTTATATAATATTTAAAAAATTATCCTATATTAAACATATTAAAATTGATTATATATATAATATATAATATATACATATATGCATATAATCAATGATATTAAAATTATATGTAATGATATTACTATGATATTTTATCGAATTATTTTCGAAGTTGGTTCAAAATTATATATATATAATATGGTTTATTTTACACATAGAATATTATTATAAACCGTTATAATAACATTCTATGGGTATTATTAAAATGAAACTATACAGTTTACAAATAATAATATTTTATAAGTCAATAATTAAATTAATAATAATATTGTGAGTACATATATCAGCCGTCAAAAAAGATTATTATGTTTTGGAAACAATTTGAAAATCAAAACTTCTCTCTAGACCAGCGTTTCCCAAACTGTGGTCCGCGGACCCCTAGGGGTCCGCACGTATACCGGAGGGGGTCCGCGAACGTAAATTAAAAATTTACAAAGTATACCTATCCATAAAACGAAAATAATGATGCAATATTCGTATTACATGGGAAATACTGTTGATAATAAATACATTGTTGAAATAGTTATCGTTGAAAAGCAATTAAGATTAGATTATACGTATAGAAGACTGCAGATTGTTCGCGTCAGAGACAGATTGATCGCGTCGGTCAAATAACCGGTAGTTTGTTCGTTGCAGCCGTATCGTCGTATACGTAGTGTAGCATACTTTCAGTTAATTTATATTATAAAATAATTGTACGTAAAAATTTATATTTTTTAATTTAATTTATTTTTTAAAATGAAACGCTGGTTACAAAATAATGAAACCACTATGAGTGAAGAAAATGAAGGCGATTCTACAAGTTCTAAAAAAGGATCAACGCATGTAAATAAGCGTCGTAAGTTTTCGGAAGAATACATAACTTTTGGTTTCACGAATATAAATGTAAACAACGAAGAAAGACCCCAATGCGTCATATGCTATGAAATATTATCGAACGAGTCCATGAAACCAGCAAAACTTCGACGTCATTTACANACTTGAGTTATGGAGAAAACGTGCCCTTCAAAACAATTTTAACCACTTTCCAACTCTTTATGCATTTATAGAATCATCCGATGAAGTTTTTCCTCAGGACACAAAAGATATAATTATTGAACACCTCCAAATTTTGAAACATTCATTTCGAAAATATTTTCCAGTTCCTGACAAAAATAAAAATTGGGTAGTAGACCCTTTTAATGCAGATGTCCCTGATATAACTGGTTTAACAACAACACAAGAAAATCAATTAATCGAAATATCCAGTAATTCTAATTTAAAAAGGGTTTTCAAAGAATCTTCTTTGTCTTCTTTTTGGTTGAATATAAGACAAGACTATCCAGAAATATCGGACTCAGCACTAAGGCCATTGATGCTTTTTTCAACAACTTATCTCTGTGAAAAAGGATTTTCAGCTTATGTGTACACTAAAAATAAATATAGAAACCGATTAAATATAGAATCAGATTTACGTATTCAACTTTCTAATATAGATCCTAAAATACCAGATTTAGTATTAAAGAAACAACACCATCCATCACATTAAACGCATTAATTATTTATTATAAAAATAATATATCTATTTATCCATTTTTTTTTATTAATTCAATTTTTCATTATAAACATATGTGTATTTAATTTTAAAAATAAAGCAAACAATTTAGTATTATTATTTATTATTGCTTTAATTTAAATTTTTATTTAGGGGTCCGCGATCTTTTTTATTTTCTCTAAGGGGGTCCGGCAGAGAAAAAGTTTGGGAAACGCTGCTCTAGACAATCAAATTAACGCTGTACTCAATTTTTCTACGGCCAGTTTTAGCATACGTGTATGAAACTTGGTCGACTACTAAAGGCGATTAAGAAAAAATTGGCTTGTTTTAAAAGAAGAACATTTAGAAAAATTGATGGCCCTAATTTGGAAAATTAAGTGTGCATAAGAAGAATTAATATAGAGGTACAACTCATTTACCAAAAGTCTGGAATCAATGTTTACTTTATGAAAAAATGAATCAAATGGGCATGCTGTATTTGAAGGTCAAACGGAACATTAAAGAAAGCTTTAGAGGAGAAAATAAATGAGAAAAGACCTAGGGGTCGCCCTTGACAGCACTGCTTAGACAGGTTCAACAATGATCTAAACAAGTGTTCAGGGAGTAACAGTAACAATAAATAAAAGATGGAGGACAATTGAGAAAATAATTTTTCTTTTTCTTTATCAACTTTGTTTTATATTTCTCTATCAATCATCTTTTAAGAATAAGAATAGTAATAAAAATAAATTATTTATTCAAGAAGAGGAAATTCATTTCACATAAAACAAGATTAAAAACAGTTTACAATAATATTGATTTGTAATGGTTTCTGAAATTCTTCATTTTCGGTTTGAGTTTTAAGAACGGTTTTTGAAAAAATTCGATTCCGGTTTCGGTTAGAGTGTTAAGAAATGTAAAAATCAAAACTTTAACCGGTTTCGAGCCCTACTTTGTTTATAATAAGGATAATTAGTTTACAATAGATGGCCGATATTTAATTATGTGTAGTTTTACTGATATACAAGGCCATATTCAGCTTTGCCGCCTTGCCGAGCCTTAAGAAAAACTAAATCTTTCGAGTCCCTTTATTTTCATAGGTTTAGTTCTGATTTTGAAACAAAAATTTGTCTAATAATACATGAAATGAAATAATTAAATGGTTTTGCCATCATTATTATAGCAACCGTACTATTTTAATATTATGTTTTAATTTGTTCTCGTAATAAAATTCTTTTTATATATTTTAGATTCTAAGTGGACCGAAAAAGCTTGTGATTCCTAGATACTTATTTTTTTTTCTGTGGACAACTTTTCACAGAGAAAATCTTGCTTAGATTTTGAAGTGAGCATCTTTTTTGAGAGGAAATCAGACAAGAGAGGTACTTTAAAGAGGTCATTTTTGATTTTCTCAGGAGTTTTCTCAATGATGCGGGAAACTGTACGGTATATATTAGAAAAATATTAAGGTCTTATTTTTCTGTGGACAAATTTTCTACCCAAAATTTTGTTCTGATTTACAGTGATAGCAATTTTTCTAAAAAGAAATCTGACTAGGAAGATACTTTAGGAAGGTTGTTTCGATTTTTCTAATAAATAGGAAAAAATGAGAAAAAAACATGGGGAAACAGGGAAATAAGTACAATATTAAACAAATATTATAAAGAAAATATATATTGCCTATATAAATATTATACGAGGGCGTACCCAAAAGAAACCGAACTGATGTTGTGTGGGACAGAGTATTGGTAGTCGAACCAACGAAAATGTAGAAAAAATTCACAAAATTATCCTGGAAGATCGACAGCAAACCATCGAAGAAGTAGTAGAGAGATCTGGAGTGTCATAGAGTTCAGTACAAAGAATTTTAAGTGAGGATTTAGAGNATCGAGCCAACGGAAGACTCCAGTATCACCTCGCCCTAAAAAAGCTCGTCAAGTGAGGTCAAACATTAAGACAATGCTCATTTGTTTTTTGACGTGAGAGGAGTCGTCCATTCGGAGTGTGTTCCACCTGGTCAGACAGTTAACCAGGCATTTTACCTAGAGGTGTTAAAAAGATTACGCAACAGTTTGAGGCGAACAAAAACCTGATTTGTGACAATCAGGAGACTGGTTTTTTCAACACGACAATGCTCCTGCTCACACAGCCCTTTCTGTACGGCAGTTTTTGACCAAAAACGATATGACCACTGTGTCCCATCCACCCTATTCACCCGACCTATCTCCCTGCGACTTCCTTTTATTTCCCAGAATGAAAAGGAACATGAAAGGAAAGCGTTTCGCGGACATTGATGAAGTTAAAATAAAACGACGGAGGCGTTGGTAGGAATCACAAAATATGAGTTTAAAAAGTGCTTCAAAAATTGGAACAAAAGATTGGACAAGTGCATTAACTTCAATGGAGAGTATTTTGAAGGAGATTAAATGTTTTTTTGTAAAAAAATTAAATAAATAACTTTGTACAAAAATAGTTCGGTTTTTTTGGGTATGCCCTCGTATAGGCCTATATATAATATGGCATATGTATATATTGTTGACAAAGCAACACTATCCACTGAACTCCACTCAGAATCATACTTTGTTAACAATGATTTTATCACTTACAGAAATACATTAAATTTCTCGTTTTCTTCATTCCCAACTTCTTACCTACAACAGTGGCCCAATTTCTCACCTGCAATAGTGGCTGTACCCAGGTGTGAAATTGCCCGGGTTTTTAAATTTCGTTTAACATTATTGTTACATTTTTGAAATAAAATTAAATATTTTAAAGTATAAAAAATATGCTATAACTAATATTAAGATATAACTACATAATAATATGGGACCACCCTTATCAGGTGGTTGAATATAGTCTTCTTCTTGCCTTTCTCGATTCGAAGTCATTAATATCCTCATCCATGTCAATCGTCTTTTCCATTCGAGCCTCCACTGCTGCTAAAACACTTATACTTTAGAATCTCTGTTATATCATTGTTAATCGTAGCACATTCTTCACTCACTTCAAAGATGAAAAAGATCGTTCCGTACTTGCAACAGTCACAAGATAGTCAAAAACATACGTAATACAATACATGACTTAAGACACATGTTGACTAGATTCTTTATATGTAAGTGATTCAGATATTCTAAGGGATTGATTGTTCATATCCAAGATTAGGTGTGTAAAATTTTCTACGACTTATTAATTTTTTTGCAAATTTTTATTACAGTTTAAGACCTGATCTCTAGATTTTGATTTAATATTATCTTCTAGCATACATTTAAACACCCCCAAAGAACTGAGAAAAAATCAATCATTTTTTTTCAGTAATTGAAACCTTATGCTTTTATATATAGTTAGTTCATTCAAAATTACGTGAAATACATTCCTTTTTAAAATAAGTTGTGAATCGTTTGTTTCTGTTAAATTATCTTCTTCCTCATCGACCATTCTCTTTCGTTTTTTCACCCGTTACGATTGATCATTTAATTTGTCTGGCCAACCAATATATCGAGCAACGATTGCAACTTCACTCCAAATTTTTTACCAGCCTTTGTTTTTCATACTTTGAAGTTCCTTCACGAGGTGACAAGTAATTCGCTTCATCACGTTCTTTTATAATGTGATTCCGAATAATAGAACTACAAATATCAATACACCCATTTGGCATTAGTGATGTAAAGTAAAGAAAGCGACTTGAAGTTTCTTTCCAGTCTTTTGGGAATGCTGCACTTTTCGGAAATGCCCATTCAAAAAATGATCATATTTCGCTAATAGTTCAAGAAAGCCAAGAAAGTTTCCATCAGTGCAGTCACCAAATTTGCCACTTCCACCTCAGAAAGTTAACCTGCTTTCAGCAAGAAACAACGTTATATCAAGGAGTCGAAAAAGACCTTGTCACAATTGTGTGGGACTCTTTTCGACCAAATATTTCAAAACTATTTTCTCTTTTCATTCAAAAATATTATAGCATATTTTAACCACATTTTTATAATACACACTTTGGGAAACACTAATTATAAGTTATTTATTAACAATGTATAATACTAACGCCATAATAACATTATGAGAAACTACAGGTATAGGATAATAATAGGTTGACAATTATTTTATAAAGATAAGATAATAATAATAGTATATACATTTGACAACTAGACAACTATTTCAGTGCATTTTCGTTTACTTTCGTGTTGAAGTGTTGAAGTGCGTAATTTTAAATTTTTAGTGAAATGAAGAAGCTTATAATGTTATAAAAATGTTAATATTTGTTTTTTTTTTCTCTGTGAACAACTTTTATTCCAGCAATTTTGCTCCAATTTATAATAATAGTAATTTGTCTAAAAGAAATTTTAACTGAGGAGGTGCTGTAAAGGGTTCGTTTTTTGATTTTCTCCGGAGTTTTCTCAGCAAATGTGAAAAACTGAGAAACCCGGGAAAACCGGAGAAATCAATACATCATTAAATAAATATTATTGTAAGAAATATATAGAGCCTCTTTTAATTATTTTGTTTTAATATGGCATACATAGCATTGACAAAGCATCATTATCTACTAAACTCCACTAAGAATCGTTTTTTCGTAATGGCTTATCGTTGTATACACGTATACATTAAATTACCTATAACAACAGTGGCTGCGCCCGTCCCCATTATCTTAAGACATATATTTAGTAATAATAAATGTAATTTTGTTTTAATTATATTGTTGACAATTTATCGATTAAATCATGTAATTCTTAGAAAGTAAACGAGGATGTCGTATGGTAGTATGTAATAATTTTAAATACAACTTTAGATCGACAAGTAAAAAAGATGGTTCTACTTGTTTGAGATATGTTAAAAGAACTTGTAGTGTATTAATATATTCGGACAAGAATGATTTTTTTAATTCAACAACTGGTGAATATAATCACGAATTTTATGATCTAAAAAATATTCATCGCCAAATTGTTAATGTAGGATGTAAACGTAAAGCTGTAGAAGATATGCATATGCAACCGAAAAAGCAGAAACAACATATACTGTATCGTCTGTATCTGATGTTAATAGGCTGAGAAAAAATATGCATAAAGCTCGTAAGTGTTCTTCCTGCTAATTCCACTAAGGAAAAAGCGTAGGAAGGTTAGATTAAAAAAAATTACGGCACTTCAAATTATGTATTACCGAACTACGCTAGGAATCGTCTTTCGTAAAAAATGGTTTATGGTTGCTTACAGATATAAATGATATAATCTTATGTATCCTACTTTCCCAACTTTTCACCTACAAAAGTGGTCGCACCCGTCCCCAGTATCAGCTCTTTTTTTTTATTGTAATTCAGTTTGAAATATTCGTAAAGACTTGAAATTTGAATAGAAAACTTAAATTTGATATTTTCTAGACATGGTCAAATTTTCAAAATTTTTGTACCATTTTTGAACTATTTATAGACATTTCATTTTACGTGATATTTATTCGGTATTCTGAATAAAATTTTTTATGCAAACAGAAATGCTTGAAAATTTAACAGGAGGTTCATTATAAGTCTTACTTAGTGCTCAATAAGAAAAATTAAGTTTAAACTATTAGTTTTTTTTTTTTTTTAAGAATTTTATTATAAAATTTTGACAAAAATCGTAAATATTACAGCTTTTTAAAACATATAGGTATAACCGAACTCATCTCAAAATCGTTTTTTGTTAGCAATGATTAATTTTTGCATAAAAAAATACATTAAATTCCCTTCTGCACCCTATAACTTACTAACCTACAACAGTGGCTCACCAATCGTGCGAAGTGTGCTCGTTTTTGTTAGATTCGGAGCGTTGCAAAGATGCTATTGGTTTTACCAATATTGTTGTTTGTTTTTTTTTTCTTTCAATGAATACATTTTCTACTAGAACACTTACTCTGAAGTATACACTATAGCACATTTTTTGAAAAGTAATTTTCTCTAGTTGGTACATTAGAGATGTCATTTTTTAATTTCTCAAAGAGTTTTCGAAATAATCGGGGAAAACTCGAAAGAAATCTATAGTTAAAACGCCGGAGTGGCGTTACCGTTTTCATTGTTTTTATTATGTTAACACGATGTTTTCCACAAGAAATATTGCTCCAATCAAAAACTGTCAAGAAATCGATTTTGTTTCTTGTAATATTTCGTCACTAACGCCATTAAGTGTAAGTCATTTTTTGATATCCAAAGTAATTTTCCTAATAATTGGGAAAAACCAAAAAAAAGACGAAATACTCGCATACGACGTTTCCAAATTACGGCACAAGGATTTCATTATTTTAAATTTGTACTTAAGGCTTAAATTCTTTATCATAAATATTGATCCGATAGATAATCGATAAAATACCATTTTTGTTACATTTTTAATCTAATATATGAGTGAGCTATTGGTTTTTTGGTTTTCTTTGTAGGTTTTTTAATAATTAAGAAAACCAAAAAAATATACAGAAAGTATGGAAAATGCACGAACGTAATTTTTCAATTTAGTTTTTTTTAATGTAATTTAGTTTTATGTATTAATAAAAACCTGACATTTGTACAGAAAACTGTATTGCTTTGTGAAGTTCTAATATTATGTGGAAGTTATAATATGTGTTATGTTTAATAACTCAATAATGCAATTTGCATAATATAAGTCTATCGTATTCTATTGGTAGTCTGTACCTGTTATCGACCTAGTGATCGAGAGTTTAAACCAGAGTTCCAAACAATTTTTTTTTCAAAACCACATCGGATGAGTAACAGAGAAAAAACAAATGCAATTTCTTTCAAAAAATAAAATTGAGTGTAATATTGTATTTTAAAATAAAATTTTGATGAAATTCGTAATTATTGCGGCCTTAAAAAACTTGTATAACCGAACTTCGCTCCGAATCGTTTTTCGTTATCAATGATTTATTGTTGGTTACAGGTATAAATTAAATAACTTTATGTTTCCCACCTACCCCATTATCCACTTACAACAGTAGTTGCACCCATCCTCAGTATTTTAATTTTTTTGTTTACTTGTAAATTTGTTTAAGAGACCTCCAAAATCCAACTCTAGATTTGCCTCTGCCTACAACTAATGCACAAATGGACACGGCCGCTTATTGTTTACCGGTAACGACTTTACTATATTATCATTATAATTATTTATTTAATTAAATAAATGTATTTATGAAACGTATGTATGCATTTGAAAGTTATATGATCATTAAATTTATAATAATTACGTTCAAATAGACCAAATAAGAAAAGAGTTATATTTTCTATAGACAACATGTCATGATCATATTATTTAAATATAAACGCGCGTGAGTTAATTAGGATTTTACATAAAAACATATTTTTTAAAAAAAATTCCCACCAAACGTTTTCAAATGCGTTTCGTTTATTATATCCAAAAATGCATGTTAATTTTATCGTAAGTGGATAACACGGGATGTTTAGAGAAAACAGATAGATTTGAATATTTGTTATGCAGGACTATTATTAAATTGTAACATTATTATTAGATATGGCTACTTTTCCTGTAATGTTCACATACATTATGTGTACACGTATTACGCTTACACATAATAATTGTACATAATAATAATTTTATTGTAATGCGTATTGTGTTAGATGAAAAATATTAAATAGACATACATTATTATATTATTATATTACAGGTATACCCGAAAGGGAAAATGTTCGTTGAATGGTCACACCGCTGCCGTGCGATCTTTATCTTTATCACGTCGGATACGAATATTATAACAATTATCTACCTACCACAATTAAAGATGGTATCTAGTACTATCTTTAACCGTGATACCTACTAAAACTGTAATATATTGACGATAATAATATCATGCACTGTTGTAGTGACACTCGTGTAAAATAAAAATTAGGTAACTTTTTCTTGCCCGGAGCGGTCGAAAAAAAAATTTTTTTTTTGTTTTTATGCATATCATTTTTTTAATATAATACATACGTAATATTATATTAGCCTGTACTCTATTAAGCGTGTATATGGCCGTTTTGGTAGTCACTATTCAATCATTCAACTGTAATATTCTTTTTTTTGTATATATACGTATATAGAACCTATATATACATCAATGCATCGTGTACATATTATTGACGTGACCGCTCTGGATAAACGATGTTACGATAATGTAGTTATAAATTAGTTAAATAAATTACGTCATAATTACACCATGTAGACATGTAATACAATTAATAAAAATATATGTAATACGAGTATAATGAAAAAATAGAATATCGTCACTGTTTAAGATGGTCAGTTTTAATATTTTTTGTTTCATAGCAAAGAAAGGTTTACAAAAATATGGTTTTTTACGGTAAGTAAAATTTTCTTATGCCATACCTTACAAGGTCCAGATTTTAGATTCTGAGAGGAACAAAGAAGCTTATGGCTTTACAAACATGTTTTTTTCTGTGGATAACTTTTCCAACCAGAAATCTAACTCCAATTTTTAAATGTAGCTCTCTTTCTAAAAGAAAAGCGGAGGTACTTTTATAAGGTAATTTCTTAATTTTCCCAATTAATGGGAACAAACGTGAGAAAACCGGAAAAAACATAGGAAAAACGGGAAAATAGGTACAATATTAAATAAATATTATTAAGCAAATAAATAATGTCTATATAATTATTTTACCATAACATGAAATCAGTATATATTTTTGATAAAGCAACTACTATCTACTAAACTCCGTTATGAATCGCTTTTTCGTTAGCAATGGTTTATCTTCACTTATAGTTATAAAATAAATAGGTACATTATTTCCCCTCTACTAAATTCCCAACTTCTTACCTACAACAGTGGCCCATTCACGTTCGAAGTTACTCGATTTTTTCATCTGTATATGTTATTTAAACTATTTTTGTGAAATTACCAACATTTTTACCAAAATATTATTGATATGATTAGATGTGAAATTTCCCTGAAGTACTTGAATTATTAATCAAAATATTTTTGTTAGTTCACTGATTCATCTCCTCTGGTACTTTTTTATATTCTTTAAGTTTTGTTGATTTCTGGGTTGATTTGGCAACAAAAGAAAAAACACGATTATAAATTCAGTGCCGGATGAACCACCGGTGCGAACAGTATATAGAAGGCTTAAACGCAAATATAAAAATTAACTAAAAAATAAGTAAATGTACAATGTAGGTATATGTATTATTTTTTTCAAATAGTATTATTGCATTTTGATTTGAAATTTGTTTAAATTTTTATTACCAACTGAGGGATTTCTACGTTGCCAAAACATATAATATTCTAATAATTAAAAGATACGAACATACTTCACACGATGGGTGGACTACTGTTATAGGTAAGAAGTTGGGAAGGTAGAGAAGAAATTTAATATATCATAATATATCTGTACGCAATGATTATCCATTGCTAACGAAAAACGATTTTGAGCGGAGTTCAGTAATAGTGTTACTTTATCAATAATATGTATGTCATATTAAGATAAAATAATTATATAATATGTATTATATACTTTTTTTAATAATATTTGTTTAATATTTTCAAGTTTTTCCTGCGTTTTTTCCATTACAATAATAAGGGGGTTTGGTTTCCTTAGTTCATAGATTAATATTTTATACTTAAATATATCATTATTATAGAGGAATTTAAAAAAACAAATTACTTATTTTATTATATTCTATAAAAAAAAAAAGTTTTTATTTTAACGTTGTGGTATAGGCGTGATTTTTAATGAATTCCTGTGTCTAGGATTGCGTATAGGCAATTTTAATGATATTTTTTAACTAATGCAAATTTGTCAATTTAAAAATATATAAATTATTATGTAAGAAGTACCTGTTTACTGTTTTATTATGAAATTTATTCTCAAGCATGTTCATGCAAAATAAAATAATGTAGGTAGAGTGGAGTCCTAACTATGGCCATTCATTTTTATTTTATTTATAAAAAATAATGTGATTTTATAAGCCATTTGGTTATTACAGTAAAATTTGCTTAAGACACTCCTTCTTAGAATGATTTCTCGCCTAAGACGCTGGTTTCTATCGGTCCCTAGATATTTCCTATAGTAATCAATACAAAAATCACCTGTTAAACTCTCGGTTTTTTTCTATCTAATCGGATAAGACGCTCTTTTGTTCAGCAGATTACGATAAATATTAGTAGTGTACTAACACAAAACTTGCTCTTTTACCACCAAATGCTACATCTAAGTTACAACCCCTAGATCAAGGTATCATTAAAGTGGTAAAACAAAAGTACCAAAAAAAATTAGACCAACAATACTTGAGAGACATGGAGAGTACCAACCAAATTTCATACAAAATACATACGTATATATTGTATAAATGTATTTCTTTTAATTAAATTGAATAGAAAAAAAAACTGTATGTTGTCATAATTAATTTATAAATGTATTACGCGTTAAATTATGTCATTGCAATAATACAGAAATAAACTCGATATTTCAATCACTTAATTTTTTTTTTTCAATTCCTGCATAAGATGCTTTTCCGAGTTTTACTGTATTACATTAAACTACATTTATCAATTTACTAGGTGATATCAATCAACAATCATTGCAAAAACAGTTGATAACATAGATTGCCTTAGAGCGGGGAAATGCAATAATTTAATTAATAATTATTATACCAATACAAATTTCTTATTCCATAATGTTCTTAAGAATTTGAAATTCAAACTAAGTATTGCTAATATTTATAATGTATATATTTATAAGTTTTGAATTTTTTCAATAACTATATAGATAGATTAAATCAAATATAACAAGAAAAAAATGATAGGTTGCGATTCTGCCTAATATAATAAATAATAATCATTAAATAATAATTGTATAATAGGTAAATTGAATAAATAGCATTGTATTCAATTTATATGACTGATGACTGCAAAACCGAATCCTACGTTTATCATTATTATGTAAAATAAAAATAATTGTAATGTTATCAAACACAAATTAAATAGTATTTTACACAGTTAACATAATTAACACTTCACACAATTACAGGTTTTTATTACTGATACATATGTATTACTTGTTTATTATGTTCTCTAACATTACGAGTAATATCTGAGATTAACGAAATAAATTGTATAAGATAAATATGATGTAAATTATTTGAATACTACACTCATAGATAGATATTACTTATAACAAATATAATATTTAATCAACTGTTGGTGACTATTTACAATATTCAAAAACCACGAAATAAGTGGTATATATTAGTTTAAATTATGTTTTTAACGCTGGTCTAATTTGTTTTACAGTTGTACAATTATATTATTTTCTTCCATCAATTTTCTTAAAGTATACTCTATGAGAGTTTTAATTAGTATGGACATTTTTCTAAAGATTATACTATGATATTGATGTTTTGAATGAAAAAAAAGGCACAATAAAATATGGAAAGAACACATTTATTTCCCTGTTACTATAACATAATATTATATTTATATTATATTCATAGAATCCATCATACATAAAATAGTTCAAATTTAAAATAATATTTAATAACACCTTCACCCTAGGTATATGATATCTATACTATCAATATTTGAAAAAAAAAATATAAGAATTAATTATCGAAACATGATAGAAATTTCATTTGTATTATATTATGTTTATTTTGACTCAAATACAGAATTTCAAACGCAATGAAATTATGAAGTGTGCCATAATGCTGTAAAACTAAAAATTATTAATGGAATAGAAAATTGGCATTTAACTGCATTATCTAAATTTAGTTAGTCAAAGTCTTTTTACCTTTCTGGCACTTATAGCAAACTGGAAAGTGTTTTATGCACAAAAAAATTGACTTCTAGAATCTAGACACTACACAAGATATTTAAAGACCCACTCCCAAAAAAGAATTATTGGTATGTACTATTATAATTACCTTCTCAGTGGTTTGTAGGTAATAGGTACCTATTAAATAGCGTACGCAACAGGAAATGACAACACGGGAAGATAAAATAAAAATGTTTGATTAGCTATTGTCCTGATTTTGTTGTCCCCCTATGTCAAACAGAAAGTTTTTAATTTAATACAAATTATTATTATATAGCATATAATAATATATAACTGTCACCTAGACACTATGTATTCCTTTATCACTAGTAAGTACTTAGATGCAAAGTAGAAAAGACTATACTTCCCAAAATTGTGTTAAACGAGATCAAGTATAATTGAAATTGGGTTAAAACTGTATTTGACCCATAAATTTAGTTTGGCGAAAGTGCACTATCATTCTACTATCTATAGTAAATCTAAAACTAACTTAAAAAACTACCATCTAGACATTTTACAAGCCAACTTCTTAATTCTAACCGTGTCGAAAAATACTTTATTCCATAGCTGATAAGAGCACCTAGGATCTGATTGCAGAGATATAATTTGTATTTAAAGTTTGAATAAAGAGTAATAAAGTTGGTTTTAAATTTTAAAACACAAATTATCGTAGTTTTCATAAGGATTTAATTTATCTTTAAATTGGTTATAAATCAACATTTAAAAAAAGCTATCCTATGATAATGGGGACGGGTTATAGGTAATTTAATGTATACCTGTAGGCAACGATAAATCATTGCTAACGAAAAACGATTTTGAATGAAGTCAACAATATATATGTCATACTATGGTAAAATAATTAAATAGGTATTATATTATATTTTCTTTAATAATATTTGTTTGATATTGTACTGATTTTCCAGTTTTTTTTCCTACTTAAAAAAAAAAATAAATATTTTTATATAACCAATACATTCTTCGCTACACTAAGAATCTAAAATTATCATTTATTCATCAGACTATTTGATAAACATCCTTAATAACTCTAATAATATTACGGAATATCAATCAGATCAACAACTTATTGATTCAACAACTATCTGTGTTTGATAACACATTTATTCATTTTATAGAACTGTTTTTAATTTAACCAGTTATCGGTTTTGTAAGGGTCCATGAAACCTGTCATTAATATCATTGATATACGAATATTACCTTAAAATTCGTAACATTATTAAATTCATGTTCAACAAATAGGTACACTTTAAAATGTTTAATCGGAAGTTCATTAATTCTGTTTTTATTTTTTCAATAATATAATTTCACATCCAAATTAGATATGTAAATGTGTTTATAAGTGGATATAAATACACAAAAAAAAAAAATGTGCTTATTTTTAAATCAAATACATTTATAATTTGTATAATAATTTATATGATATTTTACATTAGGTATATGTCACCAAATTTGCCTGAAAACAAAATAAAATGGCCTTAAAGTGTACCTATTTCTTATCTCTAATATGTAATTATTACAGTATAGAAGCTAATTTTGTTTTTTTTTATGTGAAAAAAATTGGGAATATCAAGGCGTGAGTTATTATATTTAAACTTGGTATAATAAATGTATCATATTTATCAAATCTGTAGAGCATAAAAATTCAGGTTTCTAATAATAATATTATAATATACAATGCGCATAACGAATGTCATTAAATACAATTATCATTATCTATTTTACACAAATTACAATATAACACATAATAATGTAATATTCTAAGAAAACGCCATTGGAGGGAATAATTCCTCTCAAATGTAATTACATCGCTTTCGCAACAGTATGCGAGACACGGCTATATGGAATATAAATTAGTTGCATAACAGACGAGACACCTATAGAAAATAGACTGTACGTAATATAATAATTGGAAAAAAAAATTATCTATTTAATTTTCATTTCGATTATATTGAAATTAATTGCAGTTTACCTATTTGATTTAACACAATATATTAACATATAACATAATATATAACATAATAACATAACACGGAGTACCTAATCAATATAACGTAAGATATCACTCAGCAACTCGGAATGTCTTAACTTGTTTTTGGATAATTTAAAAAACAAACATTTCTTAAAAATTACATTACCCTTATTTTTTGTCACTTTTATTTTTCAGGGATAAAACCACTACAACATTTCAATAAATGCCTTACGTATTTGATCAGACTGTGAAGATCTTACCGATTTTCACCACCTTTAAAATTATGGCCACATACAAATAAAAACATCATAAAATAATCTTATATAATTTCATTGTTGTTGTTTCCGAATTTTTATGCGAGTAATTGAAAAAATAATTCTCGATGAAAAATATGTGTATTTACATCTCAAGCTAATCCAAGTTTATCCAAGTTAGTATTTTTTATTAAACAATATTGCATATATTATATAACAATTATTATAGTTTATAGTTTCTATTATTATTTAATGATCAACACTAAGAACATCTTATAAGATACTTTGTATTTTATTTGTCTAAACCAATCGTATAGGCTTTCTAAACCGGAACTGATTGTATTAAAACATGTACTCAATAATAGATTAGAAATTCAATATTTTAGTTCTAGTCTATAGTAATATTCAAATGCAGAGATTATTTCGATAAATTGATTACCTTTTGTTTGAGATAATATTGCAACGTTTTTATCCTAAGTACATATAGACGTTACGTAGTTAAATCTAAGATTTTAAGATCTAAAATTACAAGCAATAATATTTATTATCAAATCGTTGTGAAATCGTGTCACTAGGCGAACTAACTAGGTTTAGATATATTGTCGGTCATATACCTAAGTGACTAAACCGTACGAAAAAAACCTATATAAAATATTTCACATCACTTGTCATTTCACTAATTTCGTTTTGAACGCTGATTGAAGCTGTACAAATGTTGACAAAACATAAATATGTATATAACTCACGAATAAAAAAATTGTGAATTAAAAATACACAAAAAGAAAAATAATCTGATTACTTGTATAACTTCATGTCATTATGATGATTACATAATAATGGTTTTTGCTTTGGAAACTAAAATCATTTCGACGCACTTAATTTGTTTAGTGTTACTGCGCCTATTACTATGCTAATAATCTTATAGAACAAAACTATATAATGATATATAATATGAAAAGTTTTAATATGAACTATATTACGTGTTATAAAAGCGTAATATTTTGGGAACACTTTCTGGTTGTAAAAAAAAAAATACGTTCAGCGAAACATAAATTACGATTTTTCACAATCCAATATGATAATGATTCTGGTAATGTTAGTTTTGTTGATCTAGAACGAATGGTAACATTTTCGTTTAGATTTATTTATAGACGTAGGGATATTTTATACAAGTATAAGAATAGTCAAAATATCTATTGTCAGTCTAGTCCAGGAATTTTTAATGGTAGGAAATTTGGAGGGTCCACTACAACAATCACACCACTTCATTTCTGGCAAAACCGTTTTATTTTATAATATGATAAAGATTACAATAATTATTATACACAAGACCCGGATAAGTGCAACAAGGGGGGTTTTTTTAACACCCCCACGTTTAAAACTAGCACCCCTCTTTCCGAAAAACTTAATACGGTTTTTCATAGTAACGACTAAATATTTTAGTGCAGTTGTTTGGTTTTTGGATTATGTTTAACAAGCAAATAATTCCATTGTTGTCCTGTTATTGCACCGAATGTATACACATGTGGTCTATTATAATATTATGGTAAGTCGTATTGTCACAGCTTATTATACTTCTCTTATTTGTAGTTTAATGTATACGGTTTTGAGTAGTGTTTTAAAATTTTAGTAAATAAGTAAGAATGAATAAATTATATAATTGTCTTCTATATCTTATCCAATAATGGGAATTTAAGAGTCAAATCGAAAAAACTCTTCGCTTAAAAATCAAAGCAAGATTGAAAAATTGTATCGTGATAAATAGGTAGAAACATTTAGAAATGTGCATTGAAATCTAATAGGGTCCCGGTCTCTCCCTTCCCCCAATACCGTGGTTTATTTATCAATCCGTATGTAAACGTTAAGTTCAAACATAAAAAAAAAAGTTCCAATGTATTTTATCAACATCTCTTTAAATCGTCTTAATGAACAATTGCTGGGGGAAAAAAATGGTCACTCAGGACCTTAATCCATTGCTCCCTCCAAATTGACGGTGTTTTATGTATAATACCATCGTCCGTCCTGTCTGCTGTCCGATACCCGTGCATGCGATACATAGTGAAAATATTCCATCGCGCCGTCAAGACCGATTTCGTTTGACAATATTTAGCTACGTTTATATACCTACATATTATTATCATGATTGTTATGTATCGCTGCCACTACAATATAGTTTACAGTTGTATATGTACATAAACTTACCCACGCTAATACTATTGTATACAGTTCGATCCGCTACGTATAATAATAACACTATAAAATAAATAATATTGTACACGACATTAAGCACTCGTACCGAAATATTATATTATCATTCGCGTACCTATACGAGAATAATGGTAATAATAATAATAATGGTGAGTGCATAAAATGAAATAATTGACATTCCACACACACGCACAGTATTTTGTATGTTATTGTTATAATATGTCGTGCAGTTATATACGTGTGCCACATCGTCGTATCGTTATAAGAATCCGTATAATAAGTATAATACACATATATGTATACGCACGATAACAATATAATAATAATAATACCGGGTGAGTACGCCATGTGTGTGTGTGTGTGTGTGTGTGTGTGTGTGTGTCCATAATGCGATGTGCGAGTAAAATGCGGTCGTATGAATGAACTTGTCTTGCGCGACTCGTTTCGCGCGTAAAAAAAAATTCGTAGTATAACCAGATTGGTGACGAATATGAAATATTTCACTTTAAAAATAATTTTGTTTTTTTCTAAACATACAAAATATATCTATGAAAATGAAAACCGATTCTCTTATTTGTCAAGACGAGGTAGTGCGTTAAGTAAACATCTGCCGTAATCACTGTTTAAGAAGAAAAAACAAAAAACTATTATCTATAATATTGAATTACAAACGTGGCGACTCGCCGATCCGGGACGGGCATCCGTGTTCGGAGCAAAAATTAATCGTTGTAGAGGTCCGGGTTTACTCCGCAGATCCTGGCTTTGTCGTGTTGCGATCAAAACCAAAAGTCATTAGCGTTTTTGGGTGACATAATATACAAGCGGAACCATTTAATTGGGTGTACTATTAATGTTTCGGAGATAATAAGTGTATACCCCGTGAGTACCCAAACGTACTGAAAATTAACCATAGTAGACCCGGAGCATTGGGATCGTCGGTCCATCGGCACTATATCAATATTATTATAGCGGAAAAACGTTCTCATAAAAAGTAATACCGGACACGTCTATTTTATCTGTCGGTATTATTCAGTATCTTTCGAAGACGTTATCTTGCTTCTATACACGTCGTTGATTATTGTAAATGCATCATTTTTGTTATATTATTATCGTAACGAATCTGCGCTTCACGTGCCCTTGTGCCAACACGAATCGGGTATTTTTTTGTGGGTTAGCGCAGTAAACGTAAACGTAAAGGCGAATGTAAGTTTCCACACGAATAAAATACATCTACAACTAAAACTTAGACTATTTTGAATATATTAGGATGATAATAAAAATTTGAGTTGGATTCGGAGTGGAAATTTTCACAAGCATTTGTTATAAGACTTCTATCAGAAGTATCACTAGTTTAATTTCTAAGGGGGAACATACTATTATCCTTGATGTAATTAGTTACTAAATAATCGCGAAATTCGTTTATTTTATCATTTTCTGGTTTTCAATCATGTGAAATATCTACAAAACAATACCCCAATTCCTATTAGATTGAGAAATGGTAAACCGAATATTATGTACCGGCCACTTTGCTAATTCATTATTTGCAATATTAAATTCTTGGGTGAAATCTGAGCTTTTAATTTTAAGGTACCAAGCTTTGCCCAAATGGAAACAAAATTCCCATATTTATGCTGTCGGAAAAATAGTATTAATTGCTCGGTGCGTTGATAACTCAAAGTCTAATGCAAATTTATTTGGGTTCAATATATGTTTTGAATGATGTATAAGGTTTAAAAAATGAATGTGATTCTGAATAATTATTATTTCTATTTGTGTAGGAATTTACGTAAGGGTATTTTTTTTTTCGTGCCGGAACTTACATATGAATTCGCTTACCTGCTATGTTGCCTTAAAGATGAGAGATATATGATTGAGTTCTAGAGAATATTTGTAAAATTTTATAATGTCTACAAAAAAAAGTAGGCGACAGCATAAATCTAACTTTTATATTTAAGTCACCAAAAAAAGTTTTTTTATACTAAAAAAATAATTTAAGTTGTTAGGTCATGTTTATTGGTTATATTAAAATTCTTGAAATCATGAAATCATGAATTCTTATTAAAATAAGTAAACTTATCGTCTCAAGTGTTTAAAACAAAAGACTTTTCACTTTTACTACATATAATTTGGACGAATGATTAAAGAGATAATGCGATAAAAGTATGGAACACTGATCCCTGATGAACACTGTGACCGGAGAATATTAAATACAAGATAAGATTTTTGTTTATTTAAGGGTTGCTACGGAGAAGATAACTATTATCATTATTATCATTAATATTATTTACACTATTCAAATTTCACAATAGAACATTTAGTCCGCCGAAGGTGGACTACCCACTTTCCACTTATTTGTTTTAATTCAGTTCTAACACGGTCAAAACCAAAAATGAATATGGGTAAAATAAAAATAATACAAATTGGCACGGGCAACGCCGGGCACGGGACAGCTAGTTATTAATAAGTCAATATTCTTAAACTTCGAATAAACGTAAAAACTGAATATTATACTACTAATTTACTGTGTGACCGTAAAAATCTACGATTCGGATAACAAATTTAAAATAATTATTGATTTCAAATGAAGTGTTTTTTTTTTCCTAGCGAATAAAAATGCGAAATATTTTCGCCGAACAGTATGAATAATAGCATTCGAGTACTAAAAAAAAAAAAAAAAATGATTAAAATACTTTTATTCGAAACTCGAAAATGATTGTAATTCGCATTGAAAATGCTTGAATATGATAATGAGTGCAAAAACCGTCGGTTGAAAACGTGAATTCCGACGAACAAGAGCGGCGTGGCGGGTGGCGGCGACGATTGCTAGTTTTACTCACACTAGTAGGCGGCCGGCCTGATTGAAAAACGAACGCCCGAATAATACGCGGGCAACACACGCGTAATAAAATAATAATTATTTGCTTGGGGAGTTTTCGCTTCGTCCGGCGGCGTACGGTATACTTTGTTCCCTACCGGCGGGCTTAGCGGCAGCGGGAGATTCGAAAGAAGTCAGTCACGTGCGGTATCGACCGCAGTGGCGTGCTCGAGCGAGCGTTCGTTCTTGATGTTTACGAAAGAAAAAAAATAAAAAATAAATATCTATGTCGGTAATTATTACCTATTAGTCAGGTACTTATTATAATATTGCTGTAAACTGTGGTTATCGCGGTTGTGATACCAAAACGGTCACAGCCGTCTATCGCCGTCGTTGCAGTCGCAGATATCGCTTTAATAAATATTACTGTACGTCAATTGTTTCTTTTTTTCTATTTCACGCGCGTATTTTTTAACGTAAAATAATTATTATTATTAACATTGCCGATAAGAGTTCCTAGGCCTGCACCGCGGTTACAGTTGTGATATGAATAATAATCAAATACATTTGTTTGAATAACACCCGGGTTAACCAATTCAAAACTTGATATTAACTGATCAGTCTTCATTATGCGTATTGTAAGATAAAATAATTGCAGTTTTATTCGAATCTTCAAAACTTGAAATTCCGCCTAGGTTTTTTTACTTTAATGCTCGTCTAAATAATATTGTAGTGGCATGGTGTACAATTTTCAAAATATTCTGGGCTCTTTTAAGTTATTAATAACTATTTGAAATTGTCGAGGTTTTTGTTTCTGTTTTTTTTTTTTTTTGTTGCGTTTTTAAGTTCAAATGTCTATTAAAATGCTTTTAAAAAACATGAGCAATAATACACGCGATGTAAAATCCGTATAGAAGTTTTTAATTCGTAAAGATTTATTGTCAGTGATTAAAGTGGGAGAGACGTAAGTCCCGTTCTTATATTCAAGGTAAAATTATCAGTCCCCTTCAGTTGAAATCTTCGAAACCCGGGGAGAATGTTTTACGGGGAAGTTTAACCTACATAGATCAGTGTTTATTGTTGAGTAGAGCGTATGCGCTACATAACCCGACAATATTGTTGCCTATCCTATTTATTCATCCGCCGTCTCTTTTTCTGGACATCGGCGCGATGAACACACGATGGTACACGTGAAAAAAAATAAGGTGTAGAAAGGAAGACAGACTATACGACAGGCGGACGCTGTGCATCATCACACCTGTGTATTATTATAGTGAGAGTCAGTGAGAGCAATTGGCGGGCCTCGAGCGACCGTGCGAACGAGAATAATAGCAAAAAAAAAAAAAAACCTACTAATAATATATTATGCGACGGTGTGATGAACAGCCACAAATTTCCGAGCCCGAACACAATAATAATATAATAATATCACGGCCGGCGACGTTGTGACCTCACGGATTTTTCACACGGACGTCGCGACGAGTCCGGAAATTTCCCCTATCGCCTCGCGTATGGGTTTCGCGTATGGGCGATGCGGGTTTTTCGTAGTCACGTATCTATCTCACATATTACGCGTGCGTGTTTACTCTCACCCGCATCGTCTTTCATCGTGGCTCTCGGGCCGTGTACCTATAGGACAGAACGAATACCTACCGCACGAGGGGACGAGACAAAGAGGAAAAAAAAAATATTAAAAAAAAATAAAAAAATACCGCGTCTTTCACCGCGGTCGTGAACGGCGGAATCTTTCACTGAACGCGCAAAACTCGCACGGCGATCTCTCTCCAGCCGTCGACGACGACGAAAGGCCACGGTCAAGGCCAACAGCACGCACACCGAATAAACATTCAAACACTCTCGCTCTCGGTAACAAGGAGACATCTCGCACGCCCATCGCAACAATAATTGTTTATTTTTCTGGCAACGGTAATGTCGTTTTTTTTTTTTTTTTTTTTTTTTATAATTGTCGTAAATCCACCAAAAACGCGCAATTTACGGCCAGCGGCTCGGTAACGAAAACCCGGACCCAGGCCCGCGAATAACAAAAAAAAAAAAAAAACCAATATAAACACGTTGAAAAAACGTCGGTTAATCATTGCGTCGGGGGTGACCGTCGGTCATCACGCCACCGTTCGCAGTAACTGTACCCCGTTTACATTAGGTATAATATTATTATTTTGCAAAACGTACTCACCCAATAATGCGCGGCAAAGGAGGGCAACTGTCGGTGTTGTTCATTGGCCGGCGGCACTATCTGTAGCGTTGTTTTGATGACGGCCGCGTCCGCCGACGGCTTCGTCGTTATGGCCGACACGCCCGTGGCGGCCGTACCCATCACCACGGCCACCAACACGGCCGCGACCGTGATCACCATCGTTCCGCCGGTCATCGTCGTCTTCGCGCTGCGGGTCGTGTCCGTGTTGCCGGACGTCCGCTGCGACGGCGCCGTGCCTCGCACCATTGTGACGTGGACGTGCGCGCGTCGTCCCGTGACGGTCGGTCGTTTGACCGCGTGCGCCGGAGCGCGGCGTCGTACGCTTTCGACGTGCCGGTGCCGTAAACCGGTGATGGACAGTCGACCGTTCCTGTACGAAAACGTTTGTTCTCCGAGTGGGAATACTACAAAAACAAAAAAAAATTAAATAATATCCCAGTAGTCTAAAAATACAAATATTTGTAAATAATTACGGTCCCGAGTCGTGGACGTCGTGACACGCGGGACAGGGTGGCGACTATAAACAAAAACTGTTGCGTTATATTACGACAGGTTGTAGGAACGTCGCGGGTACCTGAAATGTATATCCGTTAACGGTGCGCAGAAGCGTTCGACTACCATGAAAAGCGCACGGAGTTCGGTTCGGGCACGTCGGCATTCATCCCGTTGTCGTCGTCGTTGTGCGGCGCAGGCGGTCGCGTTGTAATGAGACGGCCGGTCGCTGCGCGGTACTGATCGTGAATACCGAGACGCCGAGACACCGCGGTCGTCGAAGAAAGCGATCGGTACGACGGGCGAAATTCCTCCTCCCGGCGGCGGCGGTCAGTGAAAGAACCCGACGACAAGAGAAATGCACCACCGACAACGGCGTAGGTATACGGTAGGAGACGACCGACCGACGAGATGATAATAATAATAATAATAATATTAACATTATTATTATTATTATTATTATTATTGTTGTTGCAGCAGCGGCAGCAGTAGCAGTACCTAGTAGTAGTAGTAGTAGTAGTAGTAGTAGTAGCGGTATACCTACGAGGTAAAGCGGAAAAAAAAAATGTACGTACGTGTATAGGTATATAATACAATATTAAATAAAAAGCGACTGCCGCCGCCGGAATTCCCACTACTACGCGGCACCGCCTATACAATATCGTTATTGTATGCGACCATCAAATCTTTCTTTTACACGCGTCGGTTTTTTTTTCCCCGGAAATTTCTCCGAACGGGAACGTCATAAAATATTTTTTATACATATATAATGTATATAAAAAAAAAAAAAAAAAAAAAAAAAAAATAAAAAAATATCGTGCTTTAAAGATTCCGCAGTGTTATTATATTATTTTAATCATTGTTGTCCGCCCGTGGCCGTCTCCCACGCCGCGACCCCGTCGTCGCGCCCCGGCCCCGGACGGACGATTTCGCGGATTCGCGGTGCGGAGTCTCCGATATTAATTTTCATTTTTTTTTTTTTTTTTCTGGTCTTAATCTTTGTTTCATACATATGTTTCCACATTTTTTACATGGCGAATTCACTCTGAATTTGAGGTTTTCGTTCTGTTCTCTCAACGATGTAATGGGTTCATTTTTAGTGTACGGGGTAAGGGAAAAAAAAAGCAATTTACAATGAGTTCACGCTAAGAAGTACCACTAAGTATATCAGTTTAATGACCTAATATTGAAATGGGAAACGATAGGGAGTACCCAAATACACATTTTCAGACAAATTTCAAATTTTTAACTCCTTCGGTACGCGCATGCGCAATACAGCTTATTTTTATTTAAACGACAATATCATTATTTTCCTACGTACAGATTCGGATAGAGTATTTTTTTTAAAATAATGTTGGTATAAAAAGTTTTTTTTTAATTACAAAATTGGTAAAGGTATAGTATGTTGAAATTTTATATTTACGAATAATCTGTACTTGATGAAATTTGATACTATACTAATACTATGCTCAAATTATACTAGAATATCGGAATGATATCTCCGATATTATAAAATACCTGTTTGTAGACAAATAACACACAAATAAACACTTAATTTATTTTTATGGGGTATTTAAAAAATATTGTATAAGTGGATCCCCCGAATAGTATTCAAGATTTAAAAAAAATTACAAGTTGCATACAATAAAATTTGAGAGAAAATCAAACAAACGCTGTCACGTCAAGAGAATTTTTAAACCGTTTGGAATCATGTTTGAAACGTCAAAGGCGGAAACTCTGAACAATTTATTGGATAAAACTATTGTTGAAAATAAATAAATCTTAATTTCAAACTCCAATGGCGTATTTAGAGAGGGGGGTGTCCTGGGGATGAACCCCCTCCAATATTTTTTCTAGTTCTATTCATTACTGAAGTATCGCAAAATATTCTTAACAAATGACTATATATTTTAAAACTGCTTTGAACATTTCTATCATGAATTAATAATAATTGGGGACTACCAAACGATGATAATATTAGGTTTATGTGTATTACACGAATGCATTGTGAATATACGAATACAGAAAATTAATTAAACTGATATGGGTGATAACTCAGTAAATTTAAGTGTTCAATTAGTTTTAATTTTTTCCTGTCGTAATTTTATTATAAACGAAAATTCAAGTAGCAATCTTAATATTTATTTACAAGAAAATTAACACTAACATATAAGGTTTTAAGGTGTGTAATCAGATATCAATTCGTGATGAATCTATATTAATATTTGTGAAGAAAAAGTATTGCCAGGAATCAGGACACCCCTCCCCCCCCAAAAAAAAAGCCCAACATATGTCACTATCAAATTCATAGTATATACATTTTTATAATTATCATTACCTTCAATTTATGTTGTAAGAATAACAGTTAAAAATAAGAGTAAATTACGAAAACAAAAAAAGCGTTTATTTGTGTCTTATATCTGTCTATAAACAGGTATTTTAAAATATCGTAGATATCATTTCGATTTTCGAGTATAAGTTGAACATAGTTGAAATTTCGTCAATAACTGATTATTCGTAAATATTAAAATTCATCATAATATAACTTTGACAATTTTGTAGTTAGAAAAAAACTTTTTATACAAAAATTGTTTAAAAAAAATACTCTATCCGAAAATGTAGGGAAAAATGGTGTTGCCGTTTAAAAAAAAGTAAACTGTATTGCGCATGCGCGTACCGAAAAGGTTAAACATTTGAAAATTCCTGAAAATGTGTATTTGGATACCCCCTATCATACTCCGAAAAATCTATTTCAAAACTAGGTGAACAAACTGAAATATTTAGTGATACTTCTTAGCTCGAACGCATTGTATATTTATTTTACACATTATAACATAAAAGTAATATTATTGGTTGATACTACATAATATTATATAGTACCATATAATAGGTACTTACATTAAATTTGAATAACTACCATTGACTTTATTAGTATATTATATTCAATGATAATATTTTTAATATTCTCACAAAAATAATTATCGGAGCAAGTTATCTACAAACGGCGTCCGGCGTATATTATACGAGTACATATATTATGCTGTAATAGCCATAGCTTTATTTTAAGTTGATTTTTATATATTTTTTAATTACACTACAATAGTAGTCATTTTTGTTACATTCGATTTCGATTATGGACTGCATAATTTTTTTTAGATTCTGAGTGAAACGAGAAATGTATTGGTTTTACAATGATGTTTCTTTTTTTCTTTTTATATGAACACTTTTTCTACCAGAAAGCATACTCCGATTATCAATTATAGCACATTTTTTGAAAGAAAATGTGGGTGATACTTAAGGGAGGTTATTTTTTTAAATTCTCATTAATATTTTAGGGTTAGATTAAAATCTGGGTCTTTAGGCTAAAAAAGATTGAAAGATTAAAAATAAGGTTGTCATTGGCAATCGTTTTTATTATTTTAAATCTTTTTTAAACAATCATTATTGTCATAGAAATACACATTTCTGTAATCATTTTACCATAATATGATATAATATATATTGTTGACAAAGCAACATTATCAACTGAACTCCGCTCAGAATCGTTTTTTCGTTAGCAATAGTTTATAATTGCTTACAGATATACATTTAATTCCCGTCCTTATCCTACCTTCCCAACTTTTCACTTACTAAAATTGCTACACCCACGTACGTGTATGTTCGTTCTTTTTTTTACTTGTTTTTTCCTCAACTCTTTGTGTATTGCTCAAAAAGTTGTATGTATAGTTTTTTGGATATTATTAGCTTGTCTCTTTTCTTTTTTATGACATTAGCGTGGAAATCAACGTTTATCATTTCCTTATTAAAATTTGTGGTCGTGGTGGTCAAGTGATTATATAAACTAATAATATTAGTGTACGTTACTTCAGTATTCTTCTCAGCAAATCTCATATCTCCTCGCTGATTGGGCAATCCGAGCGTTTTGCTTACATGTTCCACATTTTTGTACTTCTTCTTGCATGGTTAGACGGTTGTTGTTGATATATATATATATGTATAAAATCAAATTGATTTTTGTAACCAATATTATTTTCTTAACAAGTGTGCGTGGACGACTCCTGCCAGCCGGAGTTTTTTGCTTTACTCGCTATATTTTCGCTGCAGACTCATATACAAGAGCCGGGGAGGGGGTCAATTTCATGTAAATTATGACTAAAGCAGATTTTTAAGTAAAATCACAAAAGTGGTTTCTGTCAATGAGAAAGATAAATACAATTTTAATTTTATTTTCATTTCATTACTAGACAGTAGGTATACACAATATATTGTTATGATTATCATTTCTAATTTTTTGTAGTTTTTCTGCATTTAGAAAATTATAACTGATTCGACATAGTCCGCATTATCATCATAGCAATATGAATTGCGTTATCATTTAGGCTATATTCACTAAAACCATATTAAATGTAAAATGCAGTAATACCTACAGGTGATCAATTTAAGTAGAAACACTTATTATCTCGGAAAGTATTAACTTTTTTTGGAATTTGTTTTTTAGAACATTTAAGAAACAAGCTACTCTATAATTTTATATTGTGTTATTTTTTGTCATTCTAGTTTTTGGTATTTTACCACCAACTAATTTTGATTTTCAAATAACACACCACGCGCCGTATAGCCACACAAATGATACTCCACTACTTTCCTTCAACCCATACTTAAAAGTGGAATATCTCTAAAACACCCATGAACAGCAGAGTTCTGTCATTAGAGTAGAATTTCTTCTTGCCTGTATATAGTACCATCGATATTTATTTCAGACCTTCATTCCCGGGAAGGTATCAAAAATTTCCAATGGATTATGCTAAAGACTGAGCCGAATCTAGAAATGTTTACACCAAGGGGGAAAAAAAAATACGTTCAATAATGCCTTTTTTGTAGTTCGTTAAAATATTTGTTATACTCTATTATAAACAAGATGACTCATAATCGGCCCATTAATTATTTTACATATCATATCATATGTAGTTTAAATAGTAATATGATAATTTTCAAAGAGTGACATACATTTTTTTCGAGGTAATGCCCTCCCCAGTCACTCCCCTGAAATAAAAACTGAGCACAATAGTTTCATCTTTTAGATAAAATACATCAAAAACAAATAGCCTATTATATAGTTGCTAGTATAAAAACATCTTGCGAACGACTCTTTACTACTTTGCAATAATTTCACAAACTATCAACTTTCATCTGTCGATTTTTGTATTTTATTAACTTTTCAAAACATATTTGTCTTGTACATAAATATTAATCATATAATATATACTTAAACGTTTTCTATACATAAAATCGTTCAAAAATACAAATTGTAAAAATTAAAATACAAAATGCCGAATGGATATAATATTATATAATATTTCGAAGAATTTAGTATACATTAATCGACAAATAGTATATAGTATATTATTTTAAACTCATCGAGAAAGTTTTGTTTCTTCTATATTATGTGTACCCGTGAACTCGAAGCCTTGCACAAATACTGTACATTCTTCTTCTTTTGCACATATAATATTCTATGCACATCCTTGTCTCCTCCGTCGCGACTAGCACAATATTCGTATAATAATATTACTCTATTCTCGCGAGCATCATTGAGCCTATTAGTAGAGGGTCTTATGTTGAAATTCATTTTCGATTTTTTTTTTTCATAGCTGTCGAGACACCCTGTCGAACAAAGCCTGTATTTACTGATTCACTGTCATAACCAGAGACGTATTTAAATATTTTTTGAAAAAAAACGCCCCCTCCTCAACTTAAATTTCTTCAGAAATATATTTGTAAAAACATCAGTTATTATTATTAATATATTTCACAAAAAATATCAGGTGATACATTTAATAAATACTACACATAAATTAAATTGCAGCACTCCCTATACGCCAAGCTTGTGCTGGGGAGCGGTTCTTATCAATTACAATTGTACCTACATAAAATAACATGTTGGATAATTGATATTAGAATATAAAAAATAGTGTACAATATTAAAACTAGAAAAAAGGTTAAAATAAATAAGAAAACCTTAATATTATATTAATACGTACCTTAATAATACCTTAATACGTATACGTATAGGAATACTGTAGTATTAAAAACTACTAATATAAACTATATACTAGATAAATCAAGACTATTAACATAACTTTTAAAAGACTTCAAATTACGAAAATAACTTATATTAATATTTAATTTTTGGCATAGTTTTAGATCATTATATAAAACACTCTTTTGGCCAAAAACTTTATTATAACTAGGTAAACATCAACGCATTCTTCGTTATACTCGGCATCTATAAAAGGCATATTAGTTATATATCAAAAATACATTATACATAAGTATGATAGGTGCATTTATTATTAATTATACAAAATTTATAAAAAGTACAAAATTTTAAGTTAGGAATTATTGTTTTCTAAAAAAAAAAGAATAGAAAAATAATAAACACATTGAAAGTTTGAACACAGTTCACTTTCACAATTATTCACAAATTAATTAAAAATAAATAATGTAAACACAAAACAATTCTATGAAATATGATAATAATAATAATTTTAAGCACAGCATAAAATATAATAATGTTTGTGATTACGAGTACATGTACGTGGTAATATCTTAAACCAGTAACTATACTATACATTTTTTCATACCTTGGTATTATCACAGAATACAAAAAAAGTGATTACTATTAATATCATTATTTTTTTTTAATCAGCCAAAAAACTAATAATATTATATCAAAATGCTCTCCAAAATTGACTGTCCCTAAAATTTTACCACCCGGAGCTTTAGCCCCTTCTAGCCCCCCCCCAAATACGTCACTGGTAACCTTCCAGTCCAATGAACAAAGGTTCCTCTCCTACAATAATTGAAAATTCCTGCTTAATACAATTTTTCCAATGAAATTTTGATATAGCTATAGTGAAATTTTACTTCGTGGATTTTCCTGGCGTATTTTTTCAATCGTCGATTTTTATTTCTTCCACACGTGACCTGTCCACTCTGGCTTTTACTTTGTTCACTATATCTGGTAATTTAAACAGTCGTATTATTCTAGTTCTGGAATTCTATCTTCAGAATGTTTTTCTTTAAATGTGCGTGTATTCCAATAGAAACATTGCCAATAATATATTCTTAGTACCTTTATCAAAATTCTCTACGAAATTATTACATTATTTTGAACCTTAAGCCGCAAAATCTATGCGGTATTATACTACTGTAATTTATATAATAAATATTACATTATTAAACAATTTTATTGGTATATACCTATATTATTATAGTATCAAAAATCCTATTATATTTGTGTTATATTAACAATATACAATATCCATACCAGCGTGGTCAACACTATATGCGATTACCACAACCTCCGGTAACTGCGGTTAATGACTGCTATATTAATATTATCATTTTAATAAACAAATTATTATAATATAAAAAAATATATTACAATATTGTGATTGGCCACCCGTTCGCGGTTTGTTTGTGGGATCCAGCAGCATTTGCCGCTGTGATGGCAAACGATTTCACTTTTCTGAGACGCCGCCGCCGCTTACTCACTTGGCTAATTTTGTTTCCCACGCGCACGGCAACATTTCCGCCTCCGCTTCCTCTTCTCGATTTAAATATTATTTTTACTACTACAATAATAAATAATATAATATCATCGCTACCGCCGCCACGGCTCGTCTCGTATAGTCATCATAGCTACTGACGAGTTGGTCTTCTTTTTTTGTTTTGTTTTTTTTATGTGTTTTCTATTATTCGGCGGAATATAACATTGGTAGGTATGCGTTAATGTCTGTGAGAACATTATTATCATTATTTAATTCGCATCGTAACAATAACCGCGATAACGTAGGCATCCTACAGTTGGTGCCCTGCGAAACCGAGATGAACCGTGCAATGTATACGTATTAGTAGTGCACAGTGTGTCGTTTTCACTTTTTCCCGAATAATAATAAATTATAATAAGTGTTGTTTTTGAAACTCGTTCCTACTCACCTTCGGGCAATATAATAATTATATTGTGTTAGCAATTACGAAATGGAGTTAATAATTTATAGCGCTTTTTTTTTTTTTGGATTTATAGCGAAGCTAATAATACATATTGTTAGTTTTACCGGCAGCATGTGGTTGTTTTTCTCGGAAAACAATTTTTTAGTTTCCTGTAAATGACATTATATACAGTTTTGTAATTTTTCTATTGGAAGTATACTTTTAAACTCTATACTTTTCACTGTTTGTCTCGTATTCAATTAATCAATAACATTGTTTCAACTATTTTTCACAGACGCAATATCTATGAAGGATGTTACTATTAATCCGAGGATTAGGTTAGATTATAGTCCTATTAGATCATGTATATATATATATATTTTTTTTTATCCGCGCGCAACTTTTCTGGTAGAAGACTTGCTCAGATTTTTAAGTGTAACACCTTTTCTGAAAGAAAATTGATGTGGGGAGGTACATTAAATAGGTCATTTTTCAATTTTCTCAGGAGTTTTCTCAACAAATTTGAAAAACCGAAAAAAAACGGGAAAATATAAGAAATATAAGTATTAGTTAAAATATATTATAGTTCTCTTTTTTCCTGTGAACAACTTTCTTGCTAGAAATTTTTCTCCACCTTATAATAACAGCAATGTTTCTGAAAGGAAATTTGAATGGGAAGGTACTTTAGGAAGGTCATTTTTTGATTTTCTCATGAGTATTCTCAGCACGTGTAAAAAACGGGATAAAAATAGAGAAACCGAGTAAAACGTAGGAAAACTGGGAAAATCGATACAACATTAAACAAATATTATTAAAGAAAATATATAAAGCCTATTTAATTATTTGACTATAAAATAAAATATTGTTGACAAAGCATCACTATCAACTGAACTCCGCTAAGAATCGTTTTTTCGTAAGTAATGATTCATCGTTGCTTACAGGTATACATTAAAACATAACAGTGGC